GCTGCTCTTGTATTGCTGCCATCAAGTCTGCTAAACTGTAGTTTGATTTTTCCGCCTCTCGTTTCCATTTTTTTTCGTTTTTTTTTTATCCCACTCTCTGACACCAATTTGTTACGTCTCCGTTTGTTAATTAACTTTCCGTAACTTCGTTCCGACGAAACTTGCGACACAAGTTCTTTACTTAATAAAACTGGTTTATTCTTTCCGAATACAACTTTACCGATACACTCAACTTCAACAATCGCGCTAAACAAACGCTATAACAACAAACGTCAATAATACTTCTGACCGCAGATCAGTTACTCACTATCTACACACACATTACATTATCTTCCCCTCTTTTATATACCAGCCTACCCCATCTTGTAAATACTAGAGCATTCGCCAAAGTACAGGATAATTCTAGAAAGTAGAGAGCGTGAGAATCACATGATCTCAATGATGCAACATACCTTTATCAACCCCTGAACTTATCAGTTAGCTCTTTTCATGTTTGATCGACCTCTATTTGACTTTCATGAAGTCATGTGGGATCAATGAATCATGTAGCTATAGGAAATAAATAGCTGAACATGAATATATAGATTATATATAGATTACTGATTAAATTTCCAATTGTGAATACTTGTCTACATGAAAAATCATTAGAATTTTGAATAAATCAAGATTGTCAATCTCTGGACTAACAAAGGTTCTCTATATTACTTTAAAAGTTAAGGTTTAAATGCCAAAAGCTGGTGAAGCATTTGAAACCAGTAGGTCTAAAATTTGTGATAAAAGTCATGTTAACACATTTCTCTTAATTTGACCATTGCTGATTCAAAATTGGAAGTATATAAAATCTTATAAATATTGAGGAGTTTTTTATATTAAAGATGTGTATTCATATCAGCCTTTAGCATATTTAGTATAACTGTAATTGCTAAAAATGACCCAATGAATATAATTTTGTATTCAGACTTTATCAAAATTGCTTCAATCCAGTTATTCTCTGCTTTTAAACAGGTCTTCCAGATGGCTTCTCTTGTGCTTACGACTTGATTGGTACATTTCATGATGAGCTGTAATTTTGTATGACCTGACTAAACTCAAGAAATATTTGGCACAGAAAATATTAAGTGTATGTCAACACATTCTTCCAGAATTTTAACTATTCTGATTGCTAACTTTTCTAAACTATTTTTAAGTACCTAACCATATTTGTTAATAAATCCTGATATCTTATACAAATAAAAATGTTTATCTAAAGACAACTGTTAGTTGTTGAGTGATTTAGCACAAAACACCATTGCATTCACACTTATAAGTATAACATTGATCTTCAGTCAGCTATATCCAGTTTATTGGTTGGTTTAAAGAAATTTATGACTAATCCTGTCTAGGATAAGCTTAAAGGATCCCCTTCGCCATACATTTTCTGCTAAGCAACATTTTAAGTATTTCAAAAGTATGATTACTTTTTGTAAGTCTTAATGACAAACATCTCACTATTAATAAATGTAAAACATTATGAAAGCAAGAATTTACCTGTTTTCAATATCAGCTGAAAAACTGTTCACAAGAACATGGAATAAAAATTTATTTGTACACATACCTGAAAAAAACACCTAGTTTTTACTTATATATATATATATATATATATATAA